ATCCTACAGGACAGAGTGAAACTGCCCTTGTAAGTTTCTCAGACTATAAATCTTTACTGGAGTAGAAAGCCTCGTCATCTGCCTCAAGAGCAGCTGCTGGTTTCTAACTGCTGGCCTTGCCCTTAGAGACCAATGCACAACCCTCTCCAGCTTCAGGGCTCCTGGCCTCCTTCAGAGAAACTATAGAGTATTGGAAAATTAAAGAGAATGTTGACACATTATGAAAAATGTAACTGTTACTGAATAATGTGTGTGGAAACTGTCAGACAGGAACCTAACATACTATGTAAAGCCTTGGCCAACACAATGAACTTTTTTTTTTAAGGAACGGAAGAACATTTCCAGACAGAAGGAATGTCCATAAGCAAAAAATATGTACCAGAGGCAGAAAACCTGAAAGACAGACTGGAAAGTAGAAAGAGAATACCAAAAAGTACTGTGGAGACAAGGCTATAAAGACAAGGCTTTGTAAGGCATGTAAGTGTTCACATTTTACCTCTGGGAAAAAACAACAATGAGTATATTTTGCAAAAATGATTCCGTCTGGAGTAGAAAACCACGGAGGAGGCCAGAGTAGATGGAAGTAGAATGTAATTAGCACACTATCTAAGATCATCCAGAAGAGAGACAGTGGCTGGAAAGAGGGTAGTAGTGGTGAAGAGATAGTGGTGTAGATGAAGAGCAGAGATATTAAAGAGCCAACATCAACAAGGCCAAGACAATCAGAATAGGCTGCATTAGAAGAACCCTGAGCGAGGAAGGTGTCAAACTCCTACAGTGGGGGTGAACGGCATCCTTAGCCACAAAGCTAAACAAAGTAAAAGGACCCTTTTTTGGGGGGAGGGGGGCTATATCATGCATGTGACTGTGACTATTTCAAACCACAGGGTTAGGCTGTACAGAAATATTCTATTGTATTTCCATATTGATTTATTGGGTGTTTATGGATCTGAGAGACAAAGGAGGTCTCTGCAGGTGTGTAAAGTGAATCTGAACAGAAGAGTCCTTGGCCTTAATGCTGATCCCTTTGTTTTACGAAAACCCCAAAGCATTTATGACACAAGTTTAATTTCATCTCAAAGCAGAATTCTATTTATGCACGCAGCTGATACTTTAAAAATTAGCATCTATACTAAAGAACAAGAGATTAAGACAAAGAAAAGGGCTTGCAAAGTCCAAAAAGAAGCACCCAGCTTTCATGCCATCACCCACACTGGAGGAATGGGGTTTTCCAGTGATCTGCTACTTGGTGTATTTGCGTTAACCATTTTCCACAATGAAGAGACATGTTACTTAGAAAACTTCTTACTCATAGAATCCAATTCAAGAAAGAAAAAGTCATAAAACAATTCACTAAATCTGATACACACACACACACACACACAAACGAATTTACAACTTTTTTTTCTTTTTTACAAGTCCTTTGCATCTAGAATTCCATCGTGACTGTTAGAGGGGCGGATTGGATCATCATTGGTCTCTGTCATTACTAATCAGAGGTATGTGATCAGTTGGAGCCCAAGAAGTTTTCTGCAAGATTTATCAGTGGAAATCACCTTCTACCATTTAACCTTTCTACCCCGCATAAGAAAAACTCCAGAAAGGGGGAAGCCAGGTGGTTGGGTTTTTTTTTTTTCTTAACAAAACAGCTGCCCCACCCACCTCACACACAATAACCTTTCCTTCCCGAACTATAGCTGATGTCAGGCAAGGACGCTGGGCGCCGGGGCCCCAGGGAGGGCGGTTGGTGGGGTAGCCCAGGTTATCAGAGGCGGACCTCAGAACCCAGGGGAGCTGTCTCACCCAGTCCTGGACTAGTGTCCAATTTCCCAAAAGGGTACGAAGATCTCCACTACGGAAACACGAGCTCCCGAGCCGGCGCCTGAGACACCCCACCCGACAAAGGACACCGACTCTAGGTTTCCCGTCACCCTCGGGCCTCTTGGATCCCCGCGCTCCCGGCTCCGATAGGGGCTCACGCGGGCGCCCTTCGTCCGGACTCGCCGACGGCAGGCCTGTCACCAGGCAACAGTTGCCAGCCCGGGCGGCCCCGGGAGGCCTTCCCCGAGCGCAGGTCCTTCCCAAGTCCTCCCGGGGGCCTAGCGATCGCGGCCGGCCACAGATCGCTGGGTGGCCGCGGGCGGTCACTCACCTCTCCCTCTCGCCTCCCCCGAGGGGCGGCGC